ATATATATATATATATATATATATATATATAAATTATGAGCTTGTCCCACGGAGGTTAGCTTTGTCATGCAGTGCAGCTACATCTCTGTTGCTGAAGGCTGTTATTCATGCAGATCATCCCACCCCCACTTCTGCTGTAACTCAGATTTACTCAGGACACCTGGAAACGCACCTCCTCCTTGGATCCACCCATTTTTGACTAGCCGATGGAAAAGGGAGTTTTTGTAGGTGAGCTCTCGGCCATCACGGAGAGACTTTGCTCCTCCAACACACAGGGCACGGAAATTCTCACAGGTCCTGGGACAGGCATCTGAAAAGAGCTGCAAAAGTGAGAAGAGAAAAACATGAGAAATTCATAGCTGACAATGTCTGAATTTCCTAGCTGATATCCACTGGCCAGATTTCTGTCCCCCCTCCTTTGGCACGTGAAACCACCGTACTGGGTGTGCTTGTTCCTCGCTTTTGCTTTTCTCCTCTGTGATGTACCTCAAACAGGAGTCTCCCGATGGGCTGTTCCTCGATGGCTATCTCCAGGTACACAAACACGTGCTGTTTAAAGCAGGAAAACAATGCAGTGAGGGAAAAGCCAGCTCTGTGTGCAGCACTTGCTTCCTAACACAGGCCAGGGTCCAGCTGCCCAGTGCAAATTGTCTCAGAAAATGGCCACAGGATTGCCAATGCACAACAATATTCCTACTATTTTGTTTAAATAAACAAAAAAGTAAAGGATGTTTCACTTCACTGTGGTCAGAAATAATCCTAACAGTGTGTTAAAGCGAACTACTGGGCAGGGCCCACTTCTTCATCTTGCATTTATTTACATGCCTATTGCAGCCTGTACAATACAGGCAGGAATAAATGAATCTGCAGAAATACCAGCCACCCCACCAAAATGGATGTGTCTCACTCTTCCCAGCCAGACTGGTATTTGTTTTGATATGACATTTTTCTCTGCTCTCAACACTGTGTCAGTGCCGGCAGCATCGCACCTCACGACACCACGGCATTTCAGGGGGTTGCAGCTGGAAAAGAGGAGGTTTGGCAGTTGGGCTTTTGGTACCCAAGGGCTGGGCAGTTTGGGGATTCTGGAGCAGCACAGTCGCAGCATAGTCAACAATGCACTTTTGTTTGTTCAGCTCTGAAGCAGTTAATACGTGCCAGGCATCTGGGCTAGCGTTTGTCCCTTCGTCCCTTCCTGGCTGCCATAGGTGCAGAGGCTCTACTGTCCTCCTCCTTGGCAGGGGATGCTCCCCACCAGCCACTCCAGCCCCAGCCCCTGCCATCAGGTGCAGAAACCAAGAAACTGCCACCGCTGTGCTCGCTCTCCATACTCCTTGTGGTACCTGCCCTTTCATTGCACAACCTCTCCAGCCCCTTACAGACCTTGTACTCTTTGTGTAAAACAGTGCTGCTTGCCTGGCTGTTTTTCAGATATTTGGTGTAAAAATCCTCAGCAATTGCTTGGTAAAGTGCCTTGGGCTTGAAGTTGTGATAGTCCCACTCACGGTGGGACCACTTGAGCAGGTCCTTCTCATCCCCCAGCAGCTGGCCATCAACGAAGCACATCACTGAGGAGGCATACGCCCATACCTCACCTCTCAGTTCCTGCATTTCAGAGGGAAAACGAAGGATTATTTACACATTTAATGAAGAAGCAATCAGCAATAATCCACCACAGGTGATATTTTTATGACTTTCCTACTTTTAAAACCACAAAACCCACCAACTGGAAGAGACTGAACAGCAGCTCTCGGTGAGGTGTGCTCACACTGCACACAGTTATGTGCCCTGAAGGTCTGGATCCTGCTGCTATGGGACATTATTGTGACAAGATCCACCTGGGTGTCACTTTGGGGGCAGCTCAGACTAAACAGGAAAAGCACCTGGAGAGCCCCATCCTGCCTTGCGGATCTCTGAGAACATTAAATAAATTGGGGTGGACAAACTCACTTCCAAAATCTGCAAATGGCACTGAGCTGGGAGAGGCTTCAGCCCTGGGGAGAGGACTCATGTCCAAAACAACCTGAGGACAAAAGAGTTACCTTCTTTTTCTCCTGTAAATATTCAAGCCATGCAAATTCTACTAAAGGCTGTATTTCAGGATCTGCAAACTTGCTTGGAAACTTCAGCTTCAGAGCCTATATTTTCAAGGTAAGAAAAAAAAAATTGCTTACAAGGAATTTAATACCCTCCCACACCTTATCCTATCACACCGTGTATTTCCCTCATGAACCTAAGCCACATTCTAATCCAGTTATTGCTCTGCACCCCTCATGCCTCTGGCATAACTCCCAACACTTGCAGATCAAAATCCCTGTTTGTGGAGGTAGTGGGTGCCTTGTTTTTCTGTGAAGGTCTGCTTCACAAACATTATTCAATTATACTGGTACTCCCTCCGCCCATCCTTGTCTTGGGAGATGGATGTTAGCAGTGAGATATTCAAAGACATTGCTGAGCATCATGAACTGCATTTTTGCAAGCAAAGGGAGCCATAGTCCTCTACTGTCCCAGCAGATTGGGCTCAAGGCCTCAGGGCAAGAGAGCAGCTTGGTGAAGGCTGCAAGGTGAACATTTCCAGTCCCTGTTGCTTGTAGCAGTGCATCAGGAGCACACGGCTATTGAGATATGGGACATTCCTGTCCATGGATTTAGCTTCATCTCCACATGGGCTGTGGCACACAGGTGCCACAAGCTGAGGCTTAAAGCCAGCGCCAGTGGCCTTAAAAAGAATATTCTTTCTTTTTATTAATAGAACTTTCTCTTCAGCTCACAGTCCCTGTTGCTATCATTCACACGGTGTCTGGAAAAAAAAAAAAAGGAAAAAAGCCAAGAGGCAAACACCCCCTACAGCTATTGGCTTGGCTTGTCCTTAGGTCTGCTGATAGATGGCTGAGCTTCATCAGCTGTAAATAATGCTGGGGAACAAGCCTGGGAGATAAACTCTTCCAGCTAGGGAGGGCATAAAGGTCAGCCTTGTGCACCCCACGGTGGGCTGCATGCCATATATCTGCTGCACAGCCGAGCTTCTCGTGAAAAGTCTGCAAAACCCCGAGGTTTGCAGCTTTTTGCTCTTTCCTCTGCACTTACAGAGCTGTATTAAGGGACTTGCCATAAGCTGCCAAGCAAGTCGGGCAGAGCTGCGATGAGCATGACATCTTATAGATCACTGTGCAACTGTACAATTTCTTGGAGGTGTAGGAACAAGGAGGTGAAGATGCTGCAATGGAGACCCCTGCCCTGCCCAGTGCTGAGCCATGAGCCCATAAAGCATCAGTGCCTGTGCCTGGCAGTGCCAAAAAAGAGCAGAAACCTGAAAATTGGAGTATTTTCTTCCCAAGAGCCGTCACTAGCCTTATTTACTTCCAGCCCGCACCACTCCCAACCCAGCACTGGGGTTGAAGCCCAGAGGTTACCTCTGCCGTGTACTTGGCCACGAGGAAAGCCGGGTCCCGGAGCAGCCCCACCACCGTCACCCGCCTCAGGCCCATGGTGCCCTGGACACCACCAGTGTGAGTCTGTCAACAGAGCCCGGCTCCATGGCAACCCCAGGCACCAACACACACGCATGCACACCTCCCTCCCTGCAACTCTGAGCTCTTCCCAGGCCTAAAGTCAGAAGGTTTCAGCCCTGTCGGAGGGTGGGAAACACTCCCATTTCTCTTTTCCCCCGAAGAAAGGAAAACAAGGTTACACAGAAGGCGTGTGGCAGAGGACTGGAGCCAGCTCTTTACAGAGCTCATGATGGAAGATATCAGTACAGGATCATTTAAAAGAAAGGATGAAGATCCTGTTGCTAACGGTGGCTAATACAGCAGATGCCCAGCAAAAAGCGGTAAGAATAAGCAAACATGACAGCAGTGCTTCCCCGTTACTCTCCCAGCCTCTGGTGAGCCTCTGCTCAAGGATTTCCTGGTATCTTTGCATTTAATTCCCCTTGGTGGTTCTTTTTCATGTGAACTTCTTTGCTTTTCAGACAAATGTAAAAATCCAGCACCCACATTATCCCACCACAGTGAGATTTACAGCTTAATTACACCCTGAGTAAAGTGTGCATCTCCTTTTGATGCTGAAACTCCTGCCCACAGCTATATTCGCTGGGCGCTGCTGCGACGTCATTCTGGCCAGCAGTGTGGGCAGAGTGGCACAGCGCGTGGATGGAGCAGTTCCAGAGGGGCCACAGCTCCCACCCCAAAGCTTTGTGCCACCATGGCAGCTTTGCACCCTTTTGGCTAGGGCAGCACGTGCAGGAGCAGTTTTGTGGGACAGCTGTAGGCTCGGTGCAGGCTTCTGTCAGCAGGGCTGGGCCAGGTCACTTTTCATCTCTGAGCAAGGTGAATTTTAGGAGACACCGGTGTTAGAGTGACAAAACTGAATTGTGTGTCACGTCAAAAATTTGGGGAACTTTTCATGACATCATGGATTAATGCAACAATCGTCAGATCCCCACGGAAAATACATCTTTAGCATGTCAAAGTCCTATTGCAGATAAGACTGTTGTGATTTTGCTGTAAAAGAATATATTCTGCAGAACAAACCTATGTTAAATACAATAAAAATTGTATTAATTTATCTTAATGACAATGTGTGCTTTTTTTTTCCCAATTGTATATCCCAATGGCTTTATCAAGAGATAAATCTGTACATAAGCACAGAGTCAGAACCAAAAAGCCTATAGGCTCTTAGGTAGATGTTTCTGAACTACCCCTGCCTGTAAAAAAAAAAAAAAAAAAAAAAAAGGTCAGATTGAGAAAGAAATCACAGGTTGGGGAAGGGCTCCCCATGTAGCCCTGAAGTTTCTCTGGTCCATGTGTGTGGCTCAGTGATATTCTCTTACAGTCATTCATTAGGGCACCACGTGTAACTATTTTGTTGGGATCTGCAGCAATGTTGGATTTGAAGAGCTCCATCCTCAGAGTATCAAAGACTGTGAAGAAGGTCAGATCCTGAGGGTTCAGCTACCACAGCTGCTCCCTTGCCTGGAGGACCTGAACATAAGGTGTTTCATGTTATGACGTTGTCCTGCTTCAAAAAATGCAGAAAACTGGGGGAGATGAAACAGTTTGGACCAGGGGACATATTAAAATCCTGTCGTAGAGAAGGCAGATTTAATTTACACACAGGTACTGGGTGGCAGCAGATAAGTCAAGGCATGACAGCAGCCAACTGCAGCAAGCAGCACGTGCAACTGCAACCACACTTTGTAGGCTGTGGCTGAGGGATGTGAAGGAAAACCCTCTCCTTCCTCCTCCTGAGGGCCAGCACTACAACCACTGGAGCCTCTGCAGGCTGTGACAAGCCAAACCTAATTTTAGTAGCCAGACCATATGGCTTCTGCTATAGCCAAAAATGTCTGTAGCAGCCTTATGTAAAGTCAAGAAGAGAAGCAGCATACCCAGAGTCAAATATAAAATCAGTAATGCTTCAGAAAATAATTCGCTACCTATTTTTTCTCCACATCCGTATTTTTACCTTGATACAGATTAATACAGCTAAAGTTTATCCGGCCTTTTGAAATGCCTTTTTCCTCCTTTTTGTACTACAAAACACAAGTATTAAAGCCAGAGCAATCCACTGCATATTATTTTTAAAAAAAAGGTATTGATATGTGCATTTCCTAAGTGTGCTTAAATTTACACACAAATTCCGTTCCTGAAATTTAATTCTGCACATACATATGGGTCCTGTTATACCTTTTTCTTTAAAAAAAAAAAAAAAGCTTTTTTTTAAACTGATAATTTCTAGGCATGAATTTCTCACTGTCTTTGTGGGCAAGAAAACAAATTAACTATAAACATGCTGCTAATAGTCAACTTAAAGTCCAGAAGAAAAGCAACAATTAGCCAAACAAGCTTAATGTTATCAGCCAACAAGTCAGTAATATCACTAGCTGTACAGGACTGTTTTCTGCAAATTTGTGATGGCCTTTTTTTAAAAAAGAGAGCAAGCCAAGAGACACCAGTTACTTGCTGTCTTTATCCATTCTGGCTTTTACTTCTCCCCTTCTTTTTACATGACTTTGTAATTCAGGTACATTAAAATCTGTTCAACAGGTTGCCAATTATGAAAAGTATATATACCAAAATCTTAAACTGGTTATTATTCATTTCAGCCTCTTTTTGCTACCTGTTTATGACAATATGAGGTGGTTCTGCAAGCTTACTCATATTTCTTAGATAACTAAAAATGTTTTGCTGGTACCGCTGTGCTCCGCCAGCTGCAGCAAGCAGATGTGCCATGCTGCATCTGGTTTGGGGAGAGCAACGATCACCATGAAGAAAACTACGGGAAGTACAAGAAGTTGTATAGTATATTTAAGCAATGATACTGAAGCTAACGCTCTTGGAAACGTTAAGCATTTTAAATGTGCACACGTGCCCTGACAAGAGTTTTGCTTCTGTGGGACTGTCAGGTTTCCTCTCTCCAAACCTCTCCACCTGCTGCAGCTATTTCAGTTCCTTTCAGTTCAAGATAGCATTGGAAAGAGACTGAGAAAGAGAACAGAAAGGCAGATTGGATTAATTAAACAAACCCAACATTTGAGAGAGAGCCCCCCTGTGAAGGTACTCTGGCAGGAGAGCTAATAGGGGTCACCCAGTGATATTTTGGTGAAGGGCAAGTCAAATGACAACAGCATCGCCCTGCTGAAAGCTGCATAATAAATAATGCTGTGCTTGTTGAAGACGCAAATGCCAAATAACTTCACAGCAAATACCTGGAGAGGAAACATTGCACAGCTTATCTGCTGAAGCTGCTGAACCACAACAGCGTGCTGTGATGACTAGGGGGAGGGACATCACTGCTGTTTCACTCCAGGTCCCTGGGCTGCCACAAGTCCTTTCTGACAGATCCCATGCAGCTGTTAAGATTGCCCAGCAGTCGAAGCAAACAACACAGGAGACTTTGAAAAACATCTTCCTACCCCTCGGGAACGAAGGATACATTCAGCTCCAGAAGGAAGGAAGACTCCATAAACTTAAGTGTTCCAGGTGGAAGGTAGAAACCAACATCACTTTATCAAGAAATGTAAAGCAAAGCCAAAGGGATAACCTGATTTTGAAGATAGTGATACACTAATGGGGCTGTCTACAACAACCTGAAGTTCTCCAGGTGACTGCTGTAATAGCCACAAGGCATGCTGCCTTCGAGGGCAAGGAGGATCCAGTGGTTTAAAGGGAAGACCTGTGAACACGTCTGAGAATTGGTCCCCTTCAGGAACACAGACAGTGGGCTACAATTAGGGTTGTTAAAAAAACTTGCAGGACAGTTAGCAGAGAAGCTGCTAACTAAAGCAAAGCTCTGTGTCCTGCTGTTCCAAAGATACATTGAATTAGGTAGGATTACAATATTAGCCAGAAATAGGCTGTAAGCATACTATAGTAAGATGCCAGTTCACCTAAAACATGCCTGAATGTTGGTTTTTTTTTTTTTTTTTCATTTAGAAGAATTGCTTGGGACAGATGAACAGCAGTCCATACATTGTAGAAAACCATTCATTGTTCTCCATGTTTTATGGAGGATCTGAAAAGGGATGGAGCATATAGGACTGTCGTAGCTCTCAGGACTGCCCGTCTACAAGAAGCAGACTCTTTAATGCCTCTAACGAATACATGAAAGGCATCCTGAAATCTTAGCTGTGGAGTGTGGCATTACCTGTTCCTTCTCCACTCCTGGAGAAGCTGCAATAGCAGTAGGGTTGGGAAAAAGCCTGCACAGATTCCTGACCACGGGAAGATAAGTGTATACAGGAAGCACCTTGACTGCTGCCCAGAGTCCAGGGCACACCTGCTTTGCAAACTCGTCTCCTCCCAGCCACTCCGGAGTCTGACTTGGCTTCTCCTGGATGTGGCTACTTGTACAGTCAGTGAGACAGTCTGCTGCAGAGATGGAAGATGTGGAGAGACAGAAAATGTTCCAGGCTGCTACACTCACATGGGCATCGGGCCAATGACTAGGAACAAATCCCATGCTAGGTTTCATTTAAGGTGAAATGGGAAAAGACTGAAAAAAAAGAATCCCAGCACGCTAGGATAGGTCTTAGAAAACATCAGCTGTGAACTTGATCACAATGACTAACCAGCTAAAATAGTAAACCAAGCGTTTTACAAATGAAGAGATGCAAGATCGATGAGAGGCTCAATAACCTGTGAATAAGCTTTCAGTTTGAAAAAGTTTGTGGTGAGGTAGTCATCTCCTCTTCCACTTAGATCCTAAGAGGTAATAGCAGTATAACCCCCAGTAGTGCTTTTTTAGTCCCTCTGAGGAGAGAGCATAAAACAAATATTAAAAAACCCTTTGCAAAGTTACACATGCTGGGATGAAGCTTTTCATATTGGCAGGATAATTTGCTTCAGAGCTCATATGAAATAAATATTCTGATATTCCTCTATCAAAAATGAGATGCTGGACTGGAAGGCCCACCAGCCTAATCCACACTGCCAGCATCTCTGCTTCCACGCACAGAACAGCAAACTCTCTGAACTTCAGAGTGCCAAGGTCAAGAAATGTGCCAAGGTCAAGAAATGCTACTTACAGCTAGACCATGAATATCACTGGCAAGCAGAGCAAGTGTACATGCAATAGTCAAATAGACGCTTAACAGTGTGTTTCCTCTACCTCTCAGGGATTTGTTTCAAATTCACAGGGAGAAGCAGCCAAAATATTCAGAAAGAGCCAAAATTTCACCAACTTGCATTTGAAAAAAGAATAGTAAAATCCTGTTAGAGTTCAACTACACGGGGTAACCTGCAAATGGAGTAAAAGAAACACACAATGGTGTTAATTGCTCACAAAACCAGATCTTTCTGTAGTCATCTTATTGTCCAGCATTTATGTTTAAAACCCTAATCTCATTTTAACATAGTAAGCAGCGAGATGGATTTGCTAAGATTAGTATATATGAGAAAATGAGAAGTTAAGGTGTTACTAGCTAAGGAGTAAAGATATTGAGAGAGCTGCTTTGAAATGCAGTTTTTAAGGGATGCATTTATTTTGCTAAATAGTTCTTAGTGGCAACCGGACTAAAAAGCAAAGCTGAAGGGATTTCCTTTCAAATTTAAAGTAATCCTAGGCTTCAGTTGCAGCCTTAAAAACGCACACACAGAAGGAGGATTTATTTTCATCTTTAATAGAAATGCATTCACTAGAAAGGAAGCAAATGGTGTCAAAAACCCCAACATCTGTGATATGATAAACCCCGTGAGCTTCTCGAGTGCAAGCTACAATGCGTGCTGACAGCTTAAGCAATGCAGGGTGCAAGATTAGTCACTCCTGTGCCAGTCACAGAAGTTGTTTCTTCACTGGTAGTTTGTAGAAAGCCTAAGAAAATTCCAAACCTGAAACTTTTTTTTTTTTGTTGTTGTAGGGAAAACACTGAGCAATCACTATGTGATAGCGGCTCATGCATAATTGTAGCATTGTACTTAACCCTGAAAGGATAACTTCAGGATGATCAAAGTTCAGAAAGGGGAAAGTATTTAAGTTTCTTTACTGGTAGTCTTAAGATTTACTTCGTAACCAGCTTTTAAGCATTTCAGAGTTCATAAATACATGTCAGAGAAGGAACTCAGTGCAAGCTCCTGTAAACTTATGACCAGACAGCATCATGGCTGCACATTACAGTATTTTAGATAAAATCAAAAGTTGCTAGGATAAAACTGCCAGAATATTTATTATGAGCTTAAATTTATACCACTGATCAGTAAGATTTTCGTAGAGGTAACAAGCTTTACTGTATTTTTTCATCTGTTCTTACAGCATCAAGACTTTAAGCTTCTGAAGTCCAACTGCAGAATACGCTGGTTCTCTCTGGTGGCAGAAAGTATAGATATTTTATTTCTCCATTCTGAGAGGAAAGAAAAGGTGAAAAGACTAGAGTTTTGGGGTGGGATGGTTTGGGTTTTTGTTTTTTTGCATGGATTTATTCCCACTCTCTACAGGTTTCATGATCCATTTATATAAAATCTGATCTAGTACTCGGTAAAAATGTACTTACCCACACTCCAGCAGCAGGTGGTCGGGAGCCAGCCGAGTAGTTCAACCCAAGTAGGACTTCAATGAGGGAATACGGTCCAGAATTTGGGCCCCCCAGAACAAGACAGACACTAGCACACCGGACTGAGGGCAGCAGGTGATAGAAGAGCTGGAGCCCACAACAAAAAGGCTGAGAGCTGGGGTTGTTCAGGCCTGAAGAGTAGGTGGCTTTGGGAGGACCTTACTGCTGCCTTCAACTACCTAATGGGAAGGTGCAGAGACGACACTCTTGGAGACGCAGCGGTAGGACGAGAGGCAGTGGACACAAACTGGAACATGGGAAATTCCAATTAAATATAGGAAACTTTTTTCACTGCAAATATGGTCAAACACTGGAACCAGTGGCCTAGAGAGGCTGTGGATCTTCCCTGGAAGCGTTCAAAACTCAACCAAGACAACAGCGACACAATCTAGACACACCTGCATTGAGGAAGGTGGTGGACCAGATGGCCTCCGGAAGTCACTTCCACCTCAAATTATTCTACCATTCTACACACCACTGAGCTTTTATGCAGTGACTCTCTCTGGGCAGTCGTATAAGCCAAGCACGTTCAAAGACCTTTTGTTCTGCTTTTAGATTCACCTGAATTTTTGTATTTTTCATTTGGTAAAATATAAAATATCAATCACAAGTTTGACATTTTAAAACTGAAGTGACAAATGAGCACATTGCTTTGAGCACCAGTGGCATTTCATTTGGATTTTAACACGCAAGTACACTATGTGAGATATTATCAGCAGTCAAACTTGAAAATGCAAAGCATGTGTTCTGGCATGGCATTTTATTAAGATGTCAAATCTTTTTTGTTAGCAGTCAGTCAGTCATTGAAAACAATCTGTACACATCTAATCTAGTCAGCAAAAATAGCTGTACAACTTTATGTGATATGCCCCATTTATATAGCTCATTATGCTCTGAAGGGATTCTATTCATTGTTTAACTCCCCACAAAAACAATCACCAGCTTTAACATATATTAAAAGTAACATTACATTCTGCTCTCCAAAGTACAAAAAATAACACTTTAAATATACACTGGCTCCTAAGCTTAGACTGAATCCTGTCAGGAAGAGAATTTTTGCACTTCAAAAGACAGCGCCTTCAACATCAAGAGCTCTTCAAAGTGCTTGGCAGACTGCGTGAACGCTATCCCCGCTGACTAGATGATGAAATAAGGCACAGAGGTCAACTACCTTGCCCACAGTCACACAGAGCATGAGTGGTAGAACTAGCAGAGCAGAATTTGGGCTTTTCAGTTGTCCAGTGTAACCACCGTATCTCATTGCTGCTATTGCATTTCTGAGGAGAAAAACTTGTACAGCACACAGCTAATAGAAGGGGTGATCCTGGGCCAAAGGCTGCAACAATTTCAACCCAAACCAAACCAATTTGGTAATCAATAAATCAAAATTCACTTAGGGAATGATCACATAGAAAGCTGTACATTAACCTGCAGAGCAAAAGCTCATTAAACATAAGACATATAGTGTTAGCTTTGCAAAAAGTACTGGTTATCTTAACAGTAGTTCAGGCAATGTTGACTTCATCAGAGAAGTTGTACTTTCTGATCAGCAGACATCTTAAGCACTGTTCTACCAGCAAGGTACACTTCTCTGGGGTCACACAGAAATGCAAATAAGGGGCCAAACATCTCCTCAGTAGGCATGTACGTGTACGGCACAAAAAGCCCCACGTTAATCACTTATGAGATATGGACTAAGTGGTAGAGAAATACCAATCTGGAAAAATAAAAAAAAGTCTAAAATAAATAAAGTTAAGAAAACTGAAAATCACCCATCAAAATCACCAAGAAACGTATGATCGGATAGATTATGCTGCAGAAAAGCAAATGCAATATATACAATCACTGCTTGAATAAGATGCATGCTACAGCCTAGCCCTCCGATGACAAATAAGCATTTCAGAAAGCCTGTCCTTGAATAGGATGCTCACGAGGACTCATTTACTGACAAGAGACTGCTGATGGGATTCAGAAACATGTACACTTTGATTCTGTTCTTCACTGATTTGATGGGAAGGAACTGTATCTTGGCTAGAGTGAGACTGTTGACTTGATTCCTGAGTCAGCTGCCTGAGCTGAGCTGGATGCAAAGATCCTGCTAAGTGGATTTCTTAATTTCATCCTTGATGAGCATGGAGATGTTCCAGTGCTTCCTTGGAAAGAGTGATGACATGCATCTGTTCAGGCTGGGCAGTCTCTATTTGGTTTGCAATCATATTGATACTTTGGATTTGTTCTGCTTGCTCCTGCTGAGCTGAAAGCAACAAGTTTTGCAGCTGCTGTGGTGGCTGAGCAAGCAGCGTGAGGTTAGCAGCTTGCTCTGTCGGCATATTTGAGGCATTTTCCGCAGTAACAATACTAATGCCTTGATTATGACTAGGCATGAAGTTTATATTATGTACTGCATCTGTAACCAGTAGTTGAATTTCCTGCCCTCCAGAGGTGGCAAGTTGATACTGCTGCAGCTGAAGAATGTTTCTCACTTCTTCTGAATTAGTGTTGGTGCTTGCGGCAGCGCTGGCTTCCTGAAACTGCTTTTCCTTGGTGTGAATTTTCAAATGAGACTTCAGGTTGTCCAGACGAGCAAACTGCAAACTACATTCTGAGCAGGAGAAAGGCTTTTTGCCTGTGTGTAAGATACAGTGTCTTCTCTTAGCACTGGAATCAGAGAAGGATTTTCCGCATATACCACAAGAATATGGCTTTTCTCCTCTGCAAAAGAATGTGTTTGATCTCATTAAAATATTCACTCTGACAGTGCTGCTTTCTGCAACTTACTTATTGTAAAATAAAAAAAATTTACATGATTGTTTTGCTAGACCATAAGCACTTAAGAATAGCGACATCAAAAAAGTTCATTTGACTTCTTAATTATTTCTGACTTCACAAACTGTACACTTCCATTCTTATGTACTCAAGAGCTGCAGAGATAACCTAACTGCCCTCCTGTCATAATGCCAGAGGTACAAACTCCATGCTGCTAGACCTTGACAAGAATGCAACAACTTACTTTGCACAGTAAGCACTGACCATTTTAAGAATGTTTATTAACACCGTGGGCTTTAAGAAAAAAAAAAAAAAAAAAAAAAACAAATCCTAACTTGCTGCCCAACTCAAAAGGATGAGAAATTTTAATGGAAAAACTTTTTTTTTTTTTAAACACATAAGGCCCACAACAGTTCTCCAATGATTTAAAATCTGACATCCCTTTATGCAGTGTATCCCACTGACATAGATAAAAGACAACTAATGCTGTTAGGGAGACTTGGTAGACTACAGGGAAACAGGGCAGTGTTCCAAGAACCTTGTACACCATGGCTACTGTTCAAGCAAAAATTCACAGTGAAATTTTTACTTAAATAATATAGCAATAAGTACACTGTCATTAAACAGACACAATACACCAAAGAAGAATCTTACAATGTCTTAGCACACTAGTATTTAAAAGTGCAGAACTTTCCACTACCAACTATTTCTTTAAATAGATGAAGCAAAAATGTGAAGTCTTTTAACCACCCATCCAAAATGCGAACAAGCCCTGACCACTCTATAATTGAACAAGCACTACATACAGGTATCAGACTAGAAGTTACATTTTTGAGGAATGTAATGAAATTAAGACATACTCTACCTGTGAATTCTGATGTGAGTCTGAAGAGAACTTTTAGCTGTAAATGATTTGCCACAAATTTCACAAGTGAAGGGCTTCTCACCTATCAAAAAGAAATTTGACATCCCTTTTTATATATCACTTCCCATCAATGTATTAAAAAACATTTTTTATTTTACCATACATGGTATCAAGTGTGTACTGTCAAATCCTCACACTTCTGCTATGGGTCAGGACAGATATCTGAACCTGAATGAACTCATTAGTTAAACAAGGGTATAGTAATTTAAATGTACAACTCTGTCATTTCTCCCCTTTGAAGATAAAGGCTTCAGTGATGCAAGCCCTCAGAGCCACAGCAAACATACCCGGAATACAGATGCAGGTGTTCCACACAGAACAGAGAAGTCTGAGAAAGGCCGACCCTGGACTAGTAAGCACTAATGCTGGGCTCAAGTGCAGCACCATGCAGATGAGAAAGCTTGTATTTCCAAATCTGAAAGTGAATCCATTATCTTAACAAGTTGTCTGGCTTTCTATAAGGCTCTGTCATCCTAGACCTACGATATCCTGGGAACAGTGGTTGGAGAAAAATTAAATTATAGTGGGTTGAACAAACTGTGAGGGTTTTTTGGCTGTTGATTCTGCATTTGGAATTCTCTTGTCTGAGTAAAGCAGAGAAGCCAAATCAAATAACAAAAAGGTTCACAAGAAACAGACACTACCCAACCGAAGCAAATCCTAATTCACACCATAACATATTCTTATTGCACTGTGCTTCTGTAAGACACTAGACATGAGAATCTGAATCACCACCAGGGATTCGTGGTCATCAGCCAGTTTCTAAGGAAGCTTCATATTTAGCACAGAACTGCAACACTTATCAGCTTTTATATGGCTTTGGAGGGCAGGAGTAAAGGATGAAAGAAGCAGCATTTGTCAGAAGGGACCTCTAGTCATCTAGTCCCAGCCTCCTACTGAAAACAGGAGCGACTTCCTAAGTAGGCTGTATTCTTATGACACAGCATTACAAAACTGCTGCCAAAGCAGAACAGTCATAGCAATGTTAACACCTGTCCCCCCAAACTCCTTAGAATTTTACTTCTTGCTTTTGAGATGGGACAGATCAATTGTTATTTCTGCATCATTAATACTGGTCTCTGGTTTGTCTTTTCTGGAAGCAAAATACATACAGCAAAATAAATACAGTTGCTGCTAGAACTCATCTTATTTCTTCTGGTTTTGCAACTTACCTTGCTAGTATGCTTCCTCTTCTCATTTCCCACTACATCTATAGAGCTGTGTCAGTTTCAGACACAACTGTTGTGTGTGTCAACAAACTCTATGTTCTCCTCAATAGAAAGTGCAGTATTTATTAAGTATCACAAGTTAACACTGTTCTGGATACACCCAAAACCACAAGTTCTGACCTCATTATATCCCAGAGAATTTAAAGCTGTGTTATTTTCACTGAGAAAGAAAAGGAAATTAACAAGATGCATAACTCAATCTCATGCATACTTTATTACAACCGGAGCCAACATGCTTAAGAACCATTTGATTTGAGGAAGAAACAATTGCCACTGTTTATAGCCCTTTTAAAAGAAAAAGAAATTATTCACATGTCATCTTATGAACTTACCGTTCAAAGAAAATTATTTTAAGAAGCTTATACTCTGTTATCACTAAGAGGGTAGATCAACATTTTAATCTCTGTTATTCAGCCATTCAAGCATTACCTCACCCTCTAAATCTCTTAAAACACCTTCTGACGCACTTGTATTGAATCATCCCTCTCAGCCCATCTCCTGCCAACATCTGGTTTATTACAGCACAATAAAAAGGGAAATGGAAGTAATTATTGTTCTGGTCAGCAACATTTTTCATAAGCACCCACCTCTCACAGACAAAGGTGCCCAAGTCACTTAGGACATACACTTTCTCTAACTAGTTGGCTTACTTCAATCCCATTCATGCCGGCTGTGGCTCTCCTGATAAACCGAATTCCCAGGCCAGGATTCCATCACAGAAGAGCTGACTGGCATTTTCTGCAGCAGGCTTTAAAAGAATAGGAAAAAAACCCCTCTTCCTACAATAGGCCCTGCTTTTGCACTACTGTAGTACCAGCTTTTCTGTGCTCCTGCATTCCTGATGTCAATCTCCTCATTAGCAATACAGTCACCATTATGTACAAGTAGAGCATAAGTTGAGAGACACAAGTGACATTTGCCCAACACTTCTGTTACTTCAAGAAGTAAAACAACCCCATAAAACACGATGGACAATATTACCTGTATGTGTTCTTAGATGTTTCTTTAACTGAGCTGCATCCATGAATTTGCGACGACACTGGTTACATTCCGGCAGTGAATGGCCTTGTCGCAATAATAAAAAAAGTGTCAGTGTATCTCTTCAGTGATCTTTGTTAAAGCACTTTCCTGTAAAATAACCACTGTGATAGAATATAGAGATAAAACAAAAGGTGATTCGCTGCCTCCTCCCTATCTTAACTGTCACAGTCTTATTCCTCTCTACAATTATCATGGGAAAAGAGGGGACTGACACCAGCTCCCACCCAAACACGCCTTCTCTTGAAGTGTTGTAAATTCTGATTTTTTTCCACCACTTCCTCTGTGTGTAGCTTAATCTCTGTCCTGCTCCAGAAGCGAGGAGGATGCTTCTTATTCAAGCTTGTTTGCCATTACTAGTACAAAGTAGTGGCAATTTGCACAACAGGCAGTGGACACAATTGTTTATACAATTCCTAGCTCCTATGTAACACAGACAGTAGGGCTGAAATAATCAAGTTGTATGTCAAATACAGCATAACTAATTTTTAATCATCATAAGAGTCCTTCTCAATTAAGTATTTTTCCAAACATTCCATTTATTATACATTGTCTTTTTCATCCTATTCAATATTATATCAAGATACCATATATGAGGGTAGCAGAGACTAAATACATCATTGAAGAAGAATTTTCAGCCTTAATCTTTAGGAGGACAAATCAGCATGGACTGTAAGCCAGCTCTTTGACCCAAACTTGTTATACCTGTGTGCACTCGGTAGTGGCTCTTGAGCTGTCTCTTTTGGCTGAAGTATTTGCCACACTGATCACATGTAAAGGCCTTCTGCCCTGTGAAGGAAATCAGTTATTACAATGTAAGCCACATCCAAAGCAAGTGTAAGAAAATAAATAAGTAAACCAGCACATACAGGAAAGAGCAGAAATACCTTTTTTCAGAAAGGCAAATTCTTAGGGGAGAGGGGTTACATTTCCCTTGAAATATTTACCTGTATGTAGGCTCATATGCTCTAGAAGAGAATGCTTTGTTGTCAGGGCCTTACTGCAGACGGTGCACGTGTACGGCCGCTCTCCGGTGTGCATCCGCTCATGGACTTGAAGGGAGTGCTTCTGGGAAAAGCCTTTGCCACACTCACTGCACTTAAAAGGGCGCTCTCCTAAAAGCAAAAGATGGTATCTTAAAGTATAGATGCATTATTTCTCACAAGATATTCTAAGCTGATAGTGAGATGCATTGCAATGTAGTAGCTACTAAATAATTACTTCTAAGTAGCAATAAGGAGAACTAAGATACACGTTTCACATAGCAGTAAAATAATTCTCTAAGTATTGCCATATAATTCAACATTTAAGGAGAAATTATTAACTAAACTGCAATCAAGGCAAGACATAAAGGCTAGCAGATCAGGTGACAAGAATAAAACAGTGAGCATGGGAGACACACTGTAACTTGGATCAGCAAGCTGTTTTGGACAGTTCTTGCTGGAGACAACAGCCCACATTTTAACAACAGCTTGCATTTAGCAACAAGTCACTAAATCCTAACCCAGAAGCAGCAGTCTCTTAATGCCTACCTGTATGACTTCGCTGATGAATAGCTAAGAAGTGATTATATTTAAATACTTTGCCACAGTCTTTACAGCGAGCTTCAGAACCTGCACGTTTTCTTTTTCCATCAGTCGTCTTCGCCAGTCCCTTTTCATCCTCATCACTGAGAAGTTTGTAATCTTTTAGTTTGATTGATCTCCTTATTCTACGTTTGCTATAACGGCTCTGAGTGCTCTGTATTCCTTCAGATTCAGGATCATAATTCTCATCTTTCTCAGCTGTCAGATTGACAGTAGTTTCTGAGCCACAAGCAGGTTCATTTTCTTCTGCATCCTTCCTCACTGGCGCCTGTTCGCTGGCAACTGTTTCTTCTGCTGCAGTCTCTTTTTTGATAAAATTTTGCTTATTTTGCATGGAGTTGTTCTCCCTCAGCTGCACATCTTCAGCGGAATTTGATCCCAACTTTTCTTCTTGAACACTGTTGGCTTTCCTTGGTCGCCCTCGTTTCCGCTTTGGTGGCTCTTCGTTTTTCTTGTCACTTGCAATAATGGCTACAGAGGCTCCACTGTTTGCTGGAGCTGGTAGCACATCACCCGGGCTGTGGCTGGCCTGATAGTCTGTACAGGCCCACACCAAGTCACTCACTTTCAGCAGCTGCGCAGTAGCCAGAACTTGTTCAGTGCTTTTTTCAGTGGCACGGAGGCAACCGGTGTAGATAAATTCTAGCAGTGCTCCAAAGGTGTCTGCAACCATTCCCTCCAACATGTAAATCGACTGCCCTATTTCACCCTCATTTACAAACATCATTGAGAAGTATTCACTGCTGGCAGCAAGCAACGCTTTATGGGCTCTGAACTGCACATTCTCCACTATTAAAGTAATGTCACAAAGAAAATCTTTTTTCCTTTGCTCTTCAAAATTAGCTAGAATGGTATCTTTGTGAGCTTTGGAGTGGATGATGACCAGTTTCTCAGAAGCATCAGGAGTAATTTCTGCCATTTTTATTGCGAATATGAAAGGAGGTGCCTACAAGAACATAATAGCTTTAATAAATTAAAATTTAATAAATAAGTCTGCATTATAAGACACCAAATATAATTTACTTTACCAGCCAGAGTTAACAGTTTCTAAAGCAATTCTGGTCTCTGAACTTTCTTTAAAGAAATCAACACTAACACAGATTTTATTTAAAAAGTATTTTTAAATCCTGAGAAATGGCTACAGATAGTTTCTTCTTAGATCACAATTACTGCCTATTATTTCACTTGATTATCTCTCTGGTGTGCTCTGAACTGTCTAGCATCTAAAAAAAGGGCTACCCCTTCTAAAAACTCCTTGCACAACTAAAACAATTGGACAAAAAGAACTCTTTGTTCACAGCTCCTAAGTGGAAACTAACAATGAAAAAAAAAAAAAGGTTAACTGCAGCTTCATCACTACAGATGCCATATTTCAGATTATTCGGGGACAAGGCTATGAAATCCTGTAATCAATGATAAAACTTCATTGGCATCAGTGTGGCAGGACTCCATGCCTTCTTTTCACTTCAATCCTTCTGAAAATTTCTCGTTCAGAACACTTACCTGCCAAGCTTTGGCCTATGGAGGTGGGCAATAAAAGCAGAAAAACAGCAGCATTTTTAAGAGTGCTGTCTAAAATGGGGTTGACTATTAACCATCAATCTGGCTTGCTAAGCTTCTTCAATTGTAAATATGCAAAATTTAAACAAACAAAAGAAAATCCAATAACTTCAGAATAATCCATCAAATACTACTGTGGAAGAGATGTGCCAAAAATGTCCATTTCAAGAGGCTCCGCTGAGGCAAAAGTGAAACAGATTAGCTACTTACCATCTTAAATTATAAAACTATCACGTTAAGTGCAACAGTTCCAGTCACCTAAACAAATGCTGTAAGAAACAACCTACACTACACACAGATGATACCTAAATGCTGCTGAGGTGGCCAACGTGATTTTTGTAGCCCCATTCAGCTACCAAACAGTTCATGCTGGAGCCACGTTGTTTCACCTGGGAGCTTTAATTTCTGGAGGATGCAAGCCTGATGTTGCTGGAGCACCGTAAAGCACGGCTGCAGGTCGCACCCAACAACCCCTTACAGTGTGTTACAAGAACTGGAGAGCTGCTGCCTGCTGGCATTCCCTAACACCCACACGAGCCTCACACAAGGTATACTTGCTGTTTTGATCACATGAAGGACTTTGCTACTCAGTCACGAGGTGACATCATTAATATTTTGAGTGCAAAATCCAAACCTGCACGCTTACCCAGAAAACCCCTAAAAACCCCACAGCAAGCCCGTACGCGCAGGGCAGGCACCCACGGGGCCCGCTGCGCGCCCGGGCAGACGCCGGTCCGTCTGCTGATGTGCTGTAAAGGGCTCATGAGCCACTCGCGGGTCCTCGGCGGCTGTCGCGACTACCAGAGGACTGGTTCTCGACAAAAACAGCGACAGCAGGCCCTGCTCGGCTGGCGGCCCGCGGTGGGCAAGAGGCGGCCCACGCAGCCGGGCGGGTTTGGGGAGAAGCCAGAAAACCCGCGGCGGGGATCGGAGACCCCGGCACCGCAACCCCCGGCGCCCCCTCCCCCGCCCCAAGCTCCGTAGCTCGCTCCCGCAGGTTTTGGCCGCCCCCCTCGGGGAAGGCCGCTCGCC